GCCGCCCGGCAGATTTGGGCTTCCGGCCGCGAAACCCTCTCGAGGCATCGGATGGTATGGGCGAATTGCGAGCTCGAACAATGCAGCCTGCGCAGCCAAATCCGCAAAGTCCTCTCAATTATGCGGCGATGCTAATTACTCGCGAGTACACGCTGAAGGAGAGCCTCCACTCCACACAACGGCCCTGCCTACGCTCTGCAGTCTTCCATTCTCCGCTCGTAATACCAAAGGGTGAAACGGAATCGTGGGAATTCTCGATCGGGAAGTAGAGGAGACGCGTGCTATGCTTACAATGATCAGAGAAGCCCTCCTTCATTCATCGCGGTTTTAATTAGCAGAATTTAAGTCAACATTTCGCAATCTGCCGACTACGCGAAAGTGGATCTGTACGCTACGCATTGAGAACTTTTACTTGAAAGATTATTATACATTTCCCACACACACACACCGTGAAAATGATAATAATGCGTTGAATATTATAGAAAGTTAATTGAATAAAATATGACTTACAGAATAGTCAGACAAGTCAGACTATATCAGCAATCTTTTTAAACGAAAATAAAATTTTCACTTGTCTTGGGAATATTCTTGCGTTTAAAGTCGTTATCAAGTTGATAAAATAAAGTGCGAAATGCTCTCACTGTGCAACAAATTTCCCTGCAAATCGATACGATTTTTCACAATACACAACTCTCTCCAACACACTTTTAAGATGCCTATTCAGAAGTCGTCCGAGATATCTCGTTTCCTAGCTGATTGCGTTATCGGGCGCGGTCGAGTTGCAACGCCCGCCGTTAAATGGAAAGCAAACGAGAGATTTTGGCACAAGAGTAGGGCCGTGCGATTGGTAAACATCGGTTTCGACGCGCGACTGACGAGAAAAATTTTCAATTAACCGATGCATCCGCGGCATCGCGTAACGTCGCCCGCGTCCGCCGCCAGCGCAACGATGCTTTGCTTTTCGCGGTCGCACCGAAAAAAAGAGGCCGAAATTAATTACTTTCGGCGTCAACGACAGACTCGCAGCTGACGGGACGATCGATCGTCTGCTTGATACGATTAAATCTCGTCCGCTTGATACGATTAATTCTCCGCTGTCCCGGTGCTTTCGCGACGTCATAATTCTTTTCATTTTTACGACGGTTGCGTTACGCATTGCGACTCGCGCTAAGGCATTGATAAGATTCGACGACGAGAGGGATTATGTCGTTTATTGTTCGAAGAGAACGTTGCGCGGATTGCGAGTAAACTCTTTCTCCGTATATTCGCCGCGGAAAAAGAATTTACGTGGAGAAATGCGATTGTTTCGTGGAGATTCGTTAGAGATTAAACATGATGTTTGCCGAGTTTCGCGCGCGCGGAACAATGTGACTGTATGCTGTTAGCATATATCTGACATACGAATTTTTTCCGAAAAACGATAATCCTCGCAAAAAAATGCGCGATGCAAAATTGAGAGAACATATTTGCAACGTTTTCCAATCACACGTTACTTTATTATCCGTTTATTTTCACGAAAAAATTTCGCAGTTATGGCATGTAAATGCGCGCTTAAAGGCTTACAATTTTCAATCCGCGCAAAAAACTATTTACATACGTTACTCGTCGGAACATTTCAAAAATCACAAGCTAAAGCGATTTCTGTTTCGCGCAGTTGGTTATTGTTCGAGTAAGAGGCTGGATTGGAGTGCAAGAGCCGAAAGAGAAGCGACTGCTCTTTGATATAACATCGGATTGTCGTAATTCTGCACGGTATTAAACGTAGCGTTTCTCGCGCCGTGGTTAAAAAGTTCGCTTCAGCAGGAGTGCGATTACATTCGCACAAATGTGACAACGAAACCTCTCGTCTTGCCAATTACATCTCTTTTCATTTATCTTTCTCTCGCCGTCAAAATATTCACCCTTTTCGCTCGCGTGAATCCTTTGTACAGCACTTTTTAAGCTATTTGACGTTATCAAATATTTTTTCGAAAATCTGATTTTTCATAAACTATTTTCACTCGATTTAGCGTTTACATTGACAGGGATTTTCACGCGAGCAATGATTTGACGATTACGCGATTTTCCAAGAGAAACAATTTTCGTTTATTTAGTCAAGAAAAGCAGTTACATTGAAATCTGGCGAAATATTTAAATTGGATATTATTAGTCGGAAAATAATAGAATGTGCTCGACTTGCGAACGTTATGCTCCCTCCGCGATGGAAAATTAAGTACAGAGCACGATACTAGCAAACAACAACACAACGCTAGTATTTCGTATTAGCGAGCTTGCCGTTGCGGCGCGCGATACAACGAGAGCTACAATAACAGTATCTTATTTAGATAACCAGTCGTGTACTTCAGTAACAGCCCTTCAATTGTTACCAGCCTCTCCTTTCTTCTCGTTCCATGACCTGTGTACTTAGCATACTTGCAATAGACCCGGAAACTCTCTCGAGGAATACATTACTCGAGAGAGCAGCGAAATTTAATACCCTTTTCATTTTTCGCCAGTTACCGCTTTTGTCCTGCCTTCATATTTCCGAGTTTTCTAAACGTGCAATATCGTAGATATGGAACACACTTCTCGACATTTCATAATTATAATACCACTACTTTTCAACGATCCAACAAGTTTTGCAATTATCTTCCTAGCGTTCGCTGTTCGCAATGACCGCTACGATATTAGAGATCGCGCAGAGCAAGACTCAGACTCAAGTCACCTGTTTAATTTCTGATATCGATAGAATTTCCAAGTCACACGGACGATAACGATCGTTTGTACTAGCGGCGTTTTATTCCCTCGAATTTTACAGACGTCTTTGTTCCTAACTTGCCAACCGTGGGTTTCATGAAGCGCAGCTCGCGGCGCGGTGTTAATTTTTCTTTTTTTCTCCACGTTCGTGGGTCTCGGTGCTTTGAAAATCGTGCCGCGAAGCGAGTCGGATAGCGAGTCAGCCGCGATGCAACACAGTCGGCTTCACTGATTGCCAATATGGCAGAGTACATGGAGGATCATACCGCGCACGTTCTATATCTGGGATGGTCGCGGATCCACAATGTGCCGCGGGCGTTAATTTCCTCGTGAAACGTATTGCGCCCCTGCGATTCAATTGTTCCACCCCACGGCGTTGCTACGCCGCGATGGCTCGCTCGGAGCTCATAATGACATGGCTCTCTGCTGGACTTGCGTCCACGTGTTATGAGACTGTGCATAAAACCGTTTAAACGATATAGACCTTGGGACCTATATTTTAGACTAGACGTTATATTAACATTTTATATTAAACTTATGACAATTATTTTTCTTACAATTCCTCGTCTATATTAATCATACTATTCGAATATTTACATTCGTGTTGTTTGTGAAGGATTTAGCTCTGCTGCCGTATTAAAATAGAGACCATATGTGCTGCGATAGTGAAATTCGTAAACAATGTACACCGCGGTTGCAATTTTCGGATTGAATAGTGCCTAAAGGCACGTCCGCGCTACGCATACGAGAAATCGGAAATCGGAACGGCCGATTTTACGCCACAAATTTACAGCGACGAAGGCTATGGCGACGGTACCGATAGTAAATATGTTTTCAGGTAGTACAAATTCTATGACAGCGACATAGATTAAACTTTAGGCCTTGGGGTAACTCGCTCGAGGCCTTCCCCCCGGTTGCCACACTATGGTTTTCAATCCTCTCGCATTTCCACCCCGCTTCGCCTTCACAGCGCAAGCAGCGCGCGTGATTGTTTCTCTCGCGCGGCAGGAAATCCGTGCGCGTGATGACAACGCGCGATGCATGCTGCACTCTAACGGGCTTCGTCTACCAACGGCATGCCGCGATGCAACAAAAGCGCGCTGCACATCGCTCCGCGGAGTGCTGTTTGTCGCTTTCGCGTCGCGTGTTTACGCACTGGCGCGCTGTAATGAATTCGAGATGGTCTTCCATCGCGCGTTACTCTCTGGTTTTGTTATACTCCACGCTCTTCTACGTATTCAATTAGTTGCACCATACTGTATACATTGCATCTGCATAGCTACATGGTTTGTAGCGTGTATGCGCTATTGTGAGATCGCGATATGTCGTGGTCATTCGACGCGCGGGGTTGCATTATCATCGCGATCCTTTCGTGAACTCGGTGGTTTTCGTTGAAGCACGAATATTGTAAAATGCCGTGCAAATATCGCTATCGAATCGCGTGGTTTTAAAAGGGACGCATGCTCGAGTTTACAATGTCCTCGAGTTTTGTAAGGCAATATAATAATGGAGGATATATAATTTATAATGGAAAAGGCCACGTTGGAAAATGAAAAATTAATTCTTACCACTGATACAATTTTGGCAACTAAAATATATTTTACGTAATGAATATTTTCGTCGAAATATCAGTGGATGGTCTCCGTAAATAAATTTTGCCGACTCACTCGAGAGAAGAGGTTAATAATTTTAAAAGCAACTCGCGAAGCTTTATATCAAATGATATAACCAAAATGGAAAAAAAATAAGTACATCGCAGCGGAAGCCACGGATATCTATTTTATTCCGTGACGGGAGTCACTGCTGACTCGTTTGCAAGCTCGTTTCGTAGCATCGATTATTCAAAAGGTCTACGTCACTTTCGTGGAAATGTTCCATCTCGATAATTCTGGCTGCCCATCTAGCTCGAGGGTTGCTAACCCCACGGGTTATACAACAATGGTCGATATGAACGATCGAAACTCTGCGCGCGAGCCTAATCGTGAGAAATCTTGAAAGCTTCATGACACGTGTATACCGTGACATATAATATGCTAGGCAAAGCACTTTTTATGAAGATAAACAGACTATATGGCGCAAATTATACATATATCTTATCAAAACTATAAAATTTACGACTATTATTTCAATGATGTGCGCGATATTCGTGCAGATTGGCTTTATGTACGTTCGACAAATAAAAACACGGATATTCTACTTTTATTCCGCGTAAAATATTTTGCAACATTTGCACTGACCCGATCGGTTATTTTTGCTTTTTACAGTTAACCTTTGGCAATTATATCGCTGTGGATGAAGCTGTCAGATACACGCCCCATCCGGATGATCCCGGCAAGACACTACTCACGCAGGAAGCGGTAGTAACTGTCCGAGGGGTACCACTCACTAACTATATGGAGGACCTTTTAGCTTCAAAAATCTCCTTCAATGCGAGCAAAGTAAATAATTTTATTTTACTTAGATATTTTACTGCATATGCAATTTTTCAAAAAGTTCCGAATAATATGAATATTAATGCTACCATTTTTATTCTGTGAATAAATTTTATTTGCAATTTTAGTAATCTTCACATTTTTTAAACTAAAATTTGTTCCTTTTTACGATCGTAAAAAAAAATAAAAGAGAACGCGCAAAATTTTAAGAGAAATGCAAACTCTGTTAAAAAAAAAATTTCTATCGCATGCTAGACTTCGGCGAACGGTGTCAAAGACGTGTCATAAAAAGTGCTTCATAAAACGGTGACGCGTTTGCGCGCTCCATAAAAGTTTGCGAATGACAACCCAGGCTGCATTTTCGCGACCGCGTTTTATAGCGCATTTTCAGATTTTCGCATATGCATGTAATATTTTTTTTCCGTTTAAGGGTCGACAAGGGTTAGAATGGGTGATCAACAAGCTCGAATCCGAGATGAAGGAGTTCGCCTGAAAGGCCCGGCCGCCGTCGCGAACTTTCTGAACTGCCGCTATCAGCACAACATGAGCGCCGGCGTCGGTGGGGAGCGGCAACTTCTAGATCGAACGTTTACGCCGATCAGAAGAACATTAACATCCCGGACTTCGTCAGAAACAAGCAGATGATTCGCCGCGGGCCACGTAGATCGCCTAATTGAATTTTGCGGAACTTGTTACGAACCGATTTGCAGGAGCGTTCCTTTTCAAAAACAGCTGCTGCCTGCGCAATCGTACACCGGGGTCTGTAAGGATGTATCGAGTGGACGAGCGAACGACTGACATAGAAATATAAAAAAATGCGTAGGTTTAATTTAATCGAAGAGGTACACCAAGATTGGTTCAGCTGGATGACAACAATCTCGACATTTCAACCCGTATCTGCGTACATCTGTCGGGCCGACAGTGCCGACTCACGATGAACGCATAAATCTAGTACAATTCGGCCAATACTGATATGGACAACTTGGAGCTCACAATTTATAGTAGAATTCAAAAAGAGAGATATATATACATAAATGTAATTTATATTTAATTTAATCGTACAAAGATTTTAATAAGTATTAGACGCAATTTCTTATACACACCCACAAATCGCTTTCATTTATTATCTTCCTATACTCCCTGAAATCTTTTGCTATTGAATATTTTCTTACTTATCGATTATCGGAAACTATTTTTGTTCGATAGTGCGAATTTGCACGACAAGTGCGTTCTATGATTCTATTGTAAACTCAATACGCGAACGATTCTATTGACTAATCGAAGATGAACAATGCAGACACAGACCTTCGTGAAACTATGTTTCCCGGAACTATGTTCGCCGGGTTCTCATTCCTCCTCAAGGGGAGAGGAGCCAAAGCTCTTTGATCGCAGCGGAAGCAACTTACATCGCGTTCCGAAATCACTGCGTGGTCTCTTTGATGCCGTCTATCGCGCGTCGGTATACCCGCATCTGAAAATTGTACCATTGTCGCGATTGTTTAATTTCGCGGTTTCTCCATGTATGCTTTGTCGACGTAAATTCAGCCACTATGTCGATTCCTTCCCCCCGTTAACTTTTGCAATCTCGTCGATTTTTTTGGAGCGGGTGTTCCAGCAATCTGTCGATCCAAATTCGCCGAGCGCTTTTAAATCTCAATTGCGGAAACGTAAAAACTCTCTCTCTCTTTCTCTCTCTCTCTCTGTCGGCCGTAAAAGAAGCAACGAACGAAGATGTGTCTTTTGTATGAAAAAGTCGAATATATAGAGAAGGGGAATAAATTCACGTGTACGGTCTACAAGCGGCTTTATACGAGCACGCCGGGATGCTTTAATTTAGGGAAGTCGACATACACGTCGAGCGCGGACATTGATTTACCCACGAGCTCAGCGGTTCGATAGGAAAACCGAACAGACATCAAGCATCGGTGCGTGGGGCGCGTACAAAGGATACCGCTCACCGCTCTGTGATCGGAAGCTGTCAATATTTGTCTGCGTCAGGTAACAGAGAGGTCAGCAATGAACCGTAACGTCATCAATTATCTCTTACATACCTTCACCAAACGACTCGCGCGTCAAATTTGTCTTGTCCGTCCTGTATCGTCCTGTTCTACCTCACCTTTGTATCATCCGATCGCGAGCCACCTGCTGGCGGGAGCGGTTGAAGGACGCGGAACCTTTTCCGATGGAAATTGTCTCTCGACGGCCAAAAGCAATAATGACTCGACCAAAATTCAAACCCGTTCAGTCGGAAATTGTTTGGAATGTTGAGCTCCAATAGCGAATCGATCTGCCGCGCGCACGTTGTGTACTCCATACGTGAAAGTACTCGGCGGTCGTGTGAGCACCCTCGAAAGGTAGTTAGGACGAGCGAACAGGGCCGGGAACAGGGGAATGGCATTGGGATATTTCACGGAGAGTGTTACGAGTATCGGTGGGCCACCTTGACCGACGTGTCAAGGTCTTCCACACGTGAAGCTATCGGAAATGTGTTGATAAATTACATTCATATTTATATGTTTATCAGAATAATTTGGTTCTATATTTTCAGCATTATAATTACAATTCTTTATTTAATATGTATTATTAGCAGTAAATTTTGAAAAAAGTTTCGCCAAAATATCGAAGAAATGCACTCTTTTCTTACATTTTATGTCTGCAAATTTGAGATGGCTTTCCGACTTGAAATTTTCAAATTTCCTATCTCTGCAGCAACGAGGATTTCGAATGCGCCAATGACGCCGAATTGTGTGCAGCCGATGTATATATGTATATTACATATTTACCCTGATATCGCAATAAAATCCGCGTTGCGCCTTATCCATATTTAGATTACAATGCTTTACATTAGAGACGATATGGGCGAAGTGGCAATACACGGGGGACAAAAGTCGCTCTCGTGAGCGGTTTTCGAAAAATCGGAAAACGTCTCGCTGCTTGCCGCGGAACTCGTGATTCTGCAATGAGACTGCAGCGGCGCGCGGAGGCTCTCGGGGAGCACCGAACGTCGTCGCTTTTGTTCCACCGAGCTTTCGGCGTATGTATCCGAACTCGTAAAAGGGATTCGCCTTTCGTTCGAATCCCGTTCCCGCCTTCGGCCCGTTTCTCTCTCGGGAGAGGATGAGATTCGAAGAATTGTCGAAGGGGCTCATGGTTTACACATCGTGACGGCGCTCTCTCGTCAAAACCCGTAAAAGCTCTTGGGGACGATCGACTCTGAGAGCTAGCAAACGGTCAAGGAGATTCTCTCACCGTTCCCGATTCACGATCTGTGAAAAGCTATCCGCTACAGTCTCGACATTCATCTTATTTTCCTTGCTACGCGCCGCTGTGCTTCTTGGCACTGATGGCCTCGTGAGGCCGCAAAGTAGCGTCGATTTTACTCCGAATAATAAATTTAACCGGTTCACATGCCCACCTATCAACATCGGCCAGTCGAGGGTACCTTCCTAAAAAGCTGCTCTATTTCCATTGGACGTTTTTAAAAGTTTCGAGGGCGCACTTCCGCATGCTTCGACCGTTTCCGCCTTCCTGGGGGGAAAAGTTTTACCTGACTGTGCGGCGAGTAAAACGCGTTTTGATATTTAATTTAGAAAGTTTTTAGCGGCGCAGAGAGTGTATTTTACTAGCGAGAAATCTCGAAACCGGCTAAACGCATTCACTATTAAAATTTCATTGTTTTCATATATAATCTTGATATTTTTGAGTTAATTTAAGGGAGATTATAATCGCGATTTTAACGAAGAATTTTTTTCTCCACGGATTATCTCTCGGTTTTGTCTGTCAAACTCCTATTTTACTTGCATCAGTGAATAAAGAGAATTGACCGCAAACTAGCACCCGATGTTCGCAAAACTCAATATATTTCTAAACCAACTTCGTCAATACATCCCATTTTATCCTTTCTGGAAAAGAACTTTTAATGAGTTCGCGTACACTGTTTAAAGATTTAAAGTTTTGCAAGCTTCAAAGAGATCGTGCCATGCTTCTCTAAAGTATTACAAGCGGGGCGGAGCATTATTATGACGTACAGAACGTCTACGATATTACATCGTAAAAATTGCCTCTGTATATTAGTTCCTCGCTGCCTGTTCCTTATCAAAAACTCAAAGAAAAATGCATACTGTGAACGGGAGAAAAGAAAAAGAAGCCTTCGAATATCTAATAAGATTACAAGAATCCTTTTAAGAATGTATAAGATATTAAGAAATCAGTTTCAGTTAGATTTAATCGTGATATTTATGTTTATGTGATAAAATTTTAAAAAATTGGCACAAGAAAGGAATACAACAGAATGATTTTTAGTGCTTGTAAAAGAGTCATTCTATGAAACACGATACAATAAAATTGTACTCCTTCCCTCCCCCCCCCCCCCACTTTTATGTTCCGGGCGTTCAAGTCTCCTCACCGTCGAACCACGGAGATAATGGCAATGTGACTGTAAATAATTGCTAAACGTGACAAGCATCAGCGGACGGCGGCCATGAAGAACGAGTGATCTTATAGTTAAGCGATATATATATTTCACACAAGCACCAGCAAAATTGATCGCACGAAATTGGCCAATGTCGATGTTATATCGCGTCGCGACTATGCGAGTATACCAGGCGAGTATTCATCATAAAGCAGATACATAGGTAATAACGGGAGACGGTTGAGCCGTCGCGGACGACGCGGCGCATACGCTCGCTCTATTAGCATATAATTATCTTTATGCGTCTTTTATGATTCATATTTAAGGCCGGTTTCATCGCTACCACCCAAGCACCACTAGACTTTGCGTAGAAACTGGCTCAAAGTTAGCAACTTTTACGATCGCACTTGTTTCGAAACTTAATGTACTACGCTTGCCTGTTATCGGGCCCACCACGATTCGCTTGTATCCTTGTTAAACACGCCCCGGAAAGTACTTACAAGAGGGAACACGCGCTAAAATTTATCACCATACGTGCGCACAGTCAACAGTTGCGATACGCGTCGATTATGTTTGCTTTGTCGCGCCAAACTAGCGAGTTCCGAAATTAATTGAATGACGACGATAAGATCAAATATTGTAACGACGACTTTTTATAATACAGTCGAATTTTTTCATATTTTTTCTTCTGGTTTTCTCATTTTTCTTATTTCCTATTTTCCCATTTTTTTATTTTCCTCTTAGTCTTATATTAATATTATAATTATTATAATCAATTGCAGCAAAAAGTATAAATGCGATATTCTGGACATTTTTTGTAGACGTTTACCAATTTACTTTTCAATATTTTTACTCTTTAATATTAATGTTTCCACCTATTTCAAAATTAAATATATATTTCACAAAATTAACTACGTTTATTTTATTTTAGTTACATTTATTCTTTTTTGACACCGTTCTTTGATATCGTGTTATATTCGCAAATTAAATAAAAAACGGTAAGCATTCTACAAAAAACGTCGGGATATCCTCCTCACAATTCTCTATGGCGATTTATTAATGAGGTTTGTTTATTCAACAAACTGTGCATCAAACTGTATCAACAAACTATGCATCAAAAACCGTATTTTGATAAAAAGCATTAAATAATTAAATTTATTAAGATAATTAAGTGTAAAAAGATATTCACTTACATTAAAATTATATTGAATATTATATTTTAAAAAATTTTCATCTTCAGAATTCTAATTTTTAATTACTTTTTTATACATTAAACATTTTTTCTATGTATATATATTAATGTAATCTACATTTCTAAATAATCTATATTTCTAAAATTTTAGAATTAATTTTATGATTTAAAAGCAATAAATTGTACATGTAATTTACGTAAAATTTAAACTTTTTATTTATTTGTAAAAATTCATAATGTAGATAAAAATATAATTGCCAAAACTGATCCTGAGCAATTATAATAAATGTTAACAAATAAAAAGAGAGGGATATCAATATTTTTGTATAATTACATAAATATAATAAATAAATGACTCACCAATCGTTGTACCTTAACTAAGTACGCCTTCAACTATACCTAGCAAAATTAAAATTGAATTTTAATTACTGTAAAACATCATACACTTTATGCATTTTAATTATTATATATTACTTGACTTTCCCAATTTTAATTCAAACAAAACTTAATGCAATAAATTGTATAAATTATTATTTAGAAAATTAATAAATATTCAATAAATGTTTCAATTAGTATTTTAATAAATATTATTAAACATTTTCTAATAAATATTTAGTAAATTAAATTATATATGTTGCATTATGTTGTTATTAAAATTATATACATATTTAAATAATAAAGAAATAATTATTATTTGTATTATTTATATTCACCAGTTAAGATATTGCAATTTGCTGCACGCGTTGCAGCATTCGCCTCAGATTGCTTCGCATCAGTTCCATCGAAGATTTGACTTTGTACACGCACTTGGAGCAAACAAGATGAACGATGACTGCTTGGTAGTTGCACAAAATCATCACACACGAACATACACAACTACTACTACACTTTATCCATTTTAATTCCAAATTTTAATATGTTGTTTAGTTAAAAGTATACTGCGCTTAGATTCTTTTAAAAGAATATAGGAATTATTTTGCGTATTTGTGGAATCAAAATTTGATATCAAATTATACTCAATACTCACCGAGATTGTAACTCTTTGAATCTATGGTCCGATCACTACACGATTGACGCCACTAATTGCAAATATCCGCGGTATAAATAATATACGCACACTCGGAACAAGCGAGACAAGCAACGACTGTCTTGGCGATCGTGGGAATATTGTCAAGCGCGAAACATAACCATCTAACAATTACGTTTCATCTGTTTTAGTTCCAATCAGCTGAAATTTCAATACGTATTTAATAAAAAGTATACTGCGCTTAAGTTCTCTGAAGCAAAACGGATTATTTTATATTTTTACGGAATCAAAATTTCTGTATAGTTACTGGCAATATAACCTGTTTGAACCACGGTCTAACCGCCAAATAACTGACGCAACTAATTGCGAACATTCGCGGTAAATCATATGTTCTAACAATCGCCCGCTACTTTAATCGACACTCCCGACAAAAATTCGCAATCACTAAGCACTTTTATCACGCAATTACTACGAAAAACGCGCCCAATTAAACAATTTACGTTCGTACGATGTCCGAATCCAACGGAAAAGGAAGCCAGTGGCTAGTAGCGTCGATAGAGCAAAACGGTCGGTAGGATAGCGGTCGGTAAAATAGCGGTCGGTTACCTTAAGAATCATTTCCGGTTTGATTCGCCACAGCACGAAGACTTCACGAAATGTAAATTGTGTAATTGCGCATTTTATCATAGTAATCGCGTGTTATAAATGCATAAAGATTGCGAGTTTTTATCGGGAGTGTCGATTAAAGTAGCGGGCGATTGTTAGAACATATGATTTACCGCGAATGTTCGCAATTAGTTGCGTCAGTTATTTGGCGGCTAGACCGTGGTTCAAACAGGTTATATTGCCAGTGACTATACAGAAATTTTGATTCCGTAAATATATAAAATAATCCGTTTGCTTCAGAGAACCTAAGCGCAGTAAGTATACTTTTTATTAAATACGTATTGAAATTTCAGCTGATTGGAACTGAAACAGATGAAACGTAATTGTTAGTTGATTATGTTTCGCGCTTGACAATATTCCCACGACCGCCAAGACAGTCGTTGCTTGTCTCGCTTGTTCCGAGTGTACGTACAATATTGAATCGCAAAACGTGTTAAAAGTTAGATTTTTAGGATTAATATGTGCGTGTGGATGCATTGCGTATAGCAAGTGTTGTGTTGTAGCAAATTGACGTAAATCCGCGATTATTATCGTGCGCGTCAATTTTCGTTTGATAGTGAGGTTAACAATAGTTTTTTGTTCATCATTCAAATATATTGATATATTTTGTTGTCTTTTTCTTCGCCAAAATATTATATAATTGCTTAGAATCTTTGACAATTACACTTTTGTCAGTGGAAATGATATTTTTTTTAAATAATTGATAAAATACAAAATTTTTTAAAAGTTATATATGAAATTAATTATTTTTAAATTAAAAAATTACAAGATTTTAGAAGTATGAATTATATAAATATATACATAAAAAAGAAAACATTTTTAGAACAAGTAAATTGTCAAAGTATGGTTGCAATTACATAGCATTGGTACGATAGAAATAAAGCTGTATTTATTAATATAATTGTTTATACGACTATTGATATGAATCGTTTTCTTTTTTTTATCGTAAATAATAAAATTTAAACCCTTTTTAAATATATAACTTTTTGCAAATAAAGCTACAGAGTAAAAAAATTGATACATTATATTATTTTTTGTTTATAATTCCGCAATAATCTTTAGAAATCTTAAATAATCTTTTAATCATTGCTTAATTTACAATTATTATAGGTATAAAACTATATTTTATCTTGCGTTTGTGTTTTGTACATCGTTACGGCGTAATAAATTCGCAGCATGAATCCTTTATGAAGTCCAATTAGTCTATCTAGTAGGTTAACTTTTGAACATATGTATGCACAACTAAAGTTTTCGGTAGTCATTGATTCTTCAGTAGAAATAATGCAGAAGACAGAATCTGTAGTTAGTGGAGCAAACTGCAACACTTAGGCACACAATTATAATAGCAGTTAAACTCCAGTATTTTTTTCTCATTTTCTTTCTTACGCAGAGTTTTCCCACTATTTCACATTTATCTGACTACGTTATCACGTGAGAAATCAAAAAGAAAGAAATAAAATGAGAAAGAATAAAAAATATTAAAAGAAAATAAAAAAATATGAGAGTAATTGAGAGAATAAAAAAAATTAAGGGGAAAAATAAATGTTTAAATTTTATTATCGGGTTCTCACATTTATTTATAATTGCTACAGGAGTATATTACACAATGATGCAAAATGTCATGTAACCATTGTAGGAATAAACAATTAATATCTCACGTAATATTATAAATAATAAATTAATAATAAATTAGTTACTTAATAAAATTGCTTCGTCGATGTACGATGGCTGTCAGACGTCCTCTTTTTTCCTCTCAGTAATTCATCGCAATTATTCGTAGGAGATAATTTTATAATACTTCTTGCGATCGCGCAATGTGAATAGATAATAATTTCCTTGCGTCGTGCGAATGTTAGCAAAATAATAGCGCGCAGACAATCGGATACGCCACGTTTTATAATTTATTACAATAGATCACAATAGATTTTAAAAAAACATAAAGAACCACAGACATCGCGAGCTAAAACAATATTTTAACGCGCTACTCGATGAATGTTTTGTTTTTTTATGGCCAATGTTATGCGGTACGCGCGCTGTTTACTATCATTCGTCCGAAGACTCAAGCAGAATAAAAACGGCAGTGAGGATGGTTCCATATTATTATTTTCATATCACGACTGCGATAAATATAAGATTATCAGCAATTATCGTATTAACAATTGCGATGGATTATTGAGAAGAGGAAAATCCGGAAGGCGTCGGACATCGACGAAGTAATTTTGTTCATTATATATTACTTGCAAAATATTCATTGCTTATCCTTTGATCATATAGCACTTAGCATTGTTATATAATATACTCTTATAGCAAGTATAATTAAATATGACGATTCGGCATGCGTATTTTATCATGCTTTTTGTTATTTGTTAAGATAAATTGCACTTTATTAAACAATTAATGTTCCTCGGGGGATTATTATGCGTTTCTCTACTTTTTTCAAACGACAGCTCGAAAAATTAGAGCAATAAAGTACAATAACAAAAACATAGCTACATATTCAGATAGCATCGTGCCGTTCAACATAGTCTACAGCTACGATTGCGGCTCCAATGACCCGCCATTGCCACCAGCTATGGCTACCCATTAATTTAATTAATACGCATCCATTCGCGCCGGCATGCGAGCGACCCATTTTCGTCCTTTATTTCGTGCTATTTGAATTTTACTTTGACGGCTCGAGTTTGCAAAACACACACGCGCGTTTTCAGCTGTGCTTGTGCCGGTTCCACAAAACTGCAAATTTTTCGCCAGCCACCCATCGAAAACTGTAAAAAAAATATATATATTCAGCCGCAGGCAGCGGCCATCAGGTTAATGAAGGTGTCTATAATAATGTATTCTTCGTTAGACATAGCTAAATAAATTATGCATGCAGAATATTCCGCCAGCTTGCCATTACGGTTGATTTTTCGTTTTGTTTCATTCTAAACGGCACACAAATAATTAGAAATAAAATAAAGTAACTCGTAAAATAAAAAATAATTAGTTCTCTAAAAAAATTGATTAGTTCTATTTTTTTGTGAGAATTTTTGTGAAAGTAATTCGTAATTTTACATTATTGAGAATTATTATATGTTTTAACAAAAATATTACTTTTTGAAAATATAACATTCGTGACTGTACGTTACGTAAGTAATAAAGCTGCACATTTATATTCGTACAGTTATTGTTATAAATCTCTCATCTTATTCACGTTATTTTTAATACTACGCATTACGCGTTATTATTCCATATTTCCTATTTATTAATATATTTTGTTTTAAATAGTCCATACGTTGCGCATTTATATTGTATTATACGCATTTCATTATCCTGCTTTAAATGGAATTTTGCGTGCCAGATAGAACATGAAAACGGAGGGGGAGCGGTTAGTTTGTTTGATATTTATTCCTTACCATTAATCGTATTCAGGAGTTACCATCAGCGTAGACAACCGCCATGCAAACATACGCGAAGTGCTGGCTGGCTGAATATCCTGCGATCCCGACGAGGCAGGAAGGTGTAAGTACCGTGTTAGTCTTCGGGGTTATGTCGCAGCTAGCAGAGCTAACTAATAGCCTCTTAGCCTCGGCTTAGGGAGGATCACGCTGCAAGCGACCGCACCCTCCTTGGCTCTCAGACTCCGGAGCAAACCCCTTAACCCTGGATGCGATCCTTAAGCCTGCGCAAGGCTTGCAAACGGCCGATTTCCTTCTGCTTCCGTCTGACGATGGATTAGCCTGCGTCGTTGACTGATTTTTAAGTCTTGACCTGAATATAGATCGTGCAAATTGCATTCAAAACGGGTTTGTAGTAACGCGGTCCGTATCTCTTAACGGTCTGGCAATTAAATAAAGTAGATATAACATTTGAAACCTTATTGTTACGACACCGTAAAATGATTTATTAATTTCCTTAGTAAAGAAATATTTGAATAAAATATGAGAATAATTAAAATATATTAAAATAATGAAGTAAAATATACATCATGTTTTCTGAGCAATTTTAAAATTTATAAGGAAAAGGTAAAAATAAAGTCTGTTCTGTTTCGTCCTTCATGCATAAAAGTTAAAATGTAAAAAGCGTAACCCTTGATGAAAATTATCCGAAAAGCAATGGCTTACAGAAAATATGTGTGATAGTCTATTATGCAGCATCTAAACTCTAGAGCATTTTTGTAGAGTCTCTTAGAATTCAGGTATTAAAAAGTTTCCAATAGAACATTATAATACAGAATGTGATCGCTGATCCTTATGAAAATATGCACCAACACGCGGACACACCCTAATCTTGCAGTCACCTCTATGCACAGCACATGCGACATTATAAAAGCAATAACCTTTACGGACGCTTAAAGCAAGTTTCTTAAAGCATTAAATAGCACAGGTGCATATGCATCAAGTTCGCCAATAATTTCGCAATGGCAAATCTTCATAGAAAATTTTACAATAGAGCGACAAAAGAATTCATTGGGCGAGAATAATGCTCGGCGCGTAATAAACCGGCACAAGCGCAGAATTTATTCAGTAACGTATCGGTAATTCGTATCGATGCGAAAAGTTTAGCGA